CCCCCCCCCCCCCCCCCCCCCATCCGTGCTCGCGCCACGAAAAACTGGCGTTCCGGCAAACAACCAACCAATACCGGGATGGGACAGAGCGAGCATCAGGCACTGGCGATGCCCGGGAGAGCGACCGTGTTCATCGAGGTGCATGCCCCGGCGCACTTCTTGGTGGACCTTCGGGAGACTACGGAGGAGGCGAAGACAAGGAAAAGGAATCAAAGGACCGCAAACGGCGGCGGCGGTGGTCGCGGTAGATTCGGAAGCGATGGTGGCGATGGCGCGGTTCAGCAAGGCGCGGGCGGCGATGGGGGGGGGGCTGTTCGGCTAAAGGATTTCCTCAAGACCTTGGAGCAGGTGGTTCGATTAATAGTTGCTGTTGTTGCTGCTGCTGTTGCTGCTGCTGTTGCTGTTGCTGTTGCTGTTGCTGTCGTCGTCGTCGTCGTCGTCGTCGTCGTCGTCGTCGTCGTCGTTTTGTTGTTGTTTTAGTTGGTGGTGGTGTTGTTGCTGCTGCTGCTGCTGCTGCTGCTGCTGCTGCTGTCGCTGCCGCTGTCTGTAGCCAGAACGGTGGGATGTCGGTCGAAGTTGACAACACCACGCGCTTGTGTCCCTTGGCGTGTCCGTCCGTCCCTGCTGACATCGTCGCCGTCCTCTACGAGCCAGGGCGACGAGATGTTGATCAAGATCGAGAGGACCACGCAGAGCCTCGTTGCCTCGACGGCGTTACCCTTGCCGTCATCGTCGGCCGCGGCGGCACCAGGGGCGTCAAACTTCCCGTCAGCGAGGTACACAGCCTTCGCTCTCGTTGTCCCTTGTTACCGTTTCAGACATGCCGAGCGGGAGCGTGCCGTTCGTCGTCGGCTGCAAGAACGTCTACAGCGGTAGTACGAGTAGCGGGAGTAGTGGTAGTGCCTTGGGGTAGCAGTTGTTGTGGTTGGGTGAGGAAGGAGGGAATGTCATTTTTTTGCTTCTGATTAACGAATTTCGAGGAGTATGTGCGTGGCAGAAGACAAGAAGAATATTGGAAGACTCAGCTTGCAGACCCAACCTCGTTAGCTGGCTACCCTACAGCCGGAGCGTTACTACTCCCCGGAGGCAGAAATCCGAGCTGCTCGAATTATTTCTCGGTGGTGCACGTTAGATTCCAGCGTATCGTAGATCGTCCAAGCGATGGCGTTTGATTTGGATCACCGGTTTCGCCGCAGACAAACACCGAATTATTTGATGTATCTTCCAGCCAAGTTTCCCTGCATGGTACAAGTGAGGTTTACTTGGTTGGGACAAGTTTTTCCCTTTGACCGTCGATGTATTCAAGTGAGTTGCAAGCGTTTCTTACAAGCGTGTCCCTTTCTCTGCCGTGCACCGATGACAATCTCCGACCGCGGCAGGCTCGACGAGCGGCTGTGCAGGCCTTACCTGTGGCTGGGGAGGATAAGCGTGCCCGAGTGGCTTCGGTTCCTCAACATAGAGTACGTGGAGGTTATGTTTAGCGGTCTCCTGGCGACCAAGACCTCTGTGCATAAGACGGTGGGTGGGAGCTCCGCGGCCCCTGTTCTTTACACTGCAGCTTGAAAAGGCGTTGTTGTTGTTGTTGTTGTTGTTGTTGTTGTTGTTGTTGTTGTTGTTGTTGTTGTTGTTGTTGTTGTTCTGGTGATGATGGTTTGTTTACCGGCTCGTCCTCCACACCGCCCCAACCCCCGGCCCCCCTTCCGCGCTTCAGCAGTTACAGCAGAGGCCGTACGAATCACGCAAGGCCGAGGAGATGCTGCTCGACGTCTGCCAACGGTGGTGCACGAGCTGGTGGAAGCGCGGCTTGTTCCTCAAGGTTAGAGCTGTGCTGTAGGGGGGAGCGACGGCTTTGAAAGACGTGTACTCTTGTCGTTGTCATACGGGCCGCTAGGTTGCATCACTCCGTTCCAAAATTTAAGGACCGTTCCGATGTAGGCGCTAATACCACGATGGTCCCTATCTCACCGAAGAGAGTGGTATGCATTTGGTATTGGTAGACGGGTATGTATCTGCTGGTGTTTCAAGGGTGTGGGTACTGGAGGGCGGGGGGGGCGCCCCTGCTGCCTGCGGTGTGATCATATTGGCGACAATTGTCCAATCTCCTTTCGCAGTCGTCGCGATTTAGCTTCTTCATCCAGCCGGCAACAGTTTCCTACGCCATGACTAGCCATTCGTCCGAACAATAACTCGCGACGGCCTGTACATTAAACGATCCTGCTACCCCCAGAGTTACTGAGACTTGAATAAGGGGCGTTTTTTGTGTCACACACACCCCTCATGGCCTTGAGAAGTACGTTGCCTTTTCAGGCACACAATGACTGACGCCTTTTCATTGGTAGGCCGGTTGGCGCGGTCGATGCTAGCAATACTAAAATAACTCACACACATACACACACGCACACACGCACACACGCTGGAATGGATCGTGGCCTTCCGCATTCAGATATTTTTTTTCATTTTTTCATGCGACTAACGACGACGATAGGTCTTGCCAATCGACGACGCTTCGCCCCCTGCGGAGCCGGCGGAAGCAGCACCATCAGCAGCAGCCGCAGCACCGGCGGCGGCTGCAGCGGTGACAGCGAAAGCCGGCGCATTCGTCCTTCTGAAGGCGAATTACAGCCACAAAGCTGGCATGGGTTCAGTTGTTGTTGTTGTTGTTGTTGTCAAGGGCGGTCTCCGGTTGAAGAGATCGAAATGATGTTCCAAGCACTTCCACCTTGAAGATACATTCGAAACGGTCGCAGCCGGGGCCAGAAGTTCGAGTCAAAGAGTTTTTTTTTGTTGGGACACCTGCACGACGGTACATTAGCTGAAAAGAGACCAGTCTTGTGCAACCCTCGAACTCGACAATTTTTGCGGGTCGATCGCAGTCGAGATGTTCCGGGCTACAGCAGGATGTACACGTGTCGATCAGCCGGGTCTAGGTTCCTATTGATATTCAAGTTTCGGTTGTTGGACTTTTTCGACCCGCAGCAGCTGGCGCTCGACAAGACTAATCCTAAGGAGTCGATTTTTTGCGTGGTGTTCGTTGTGGCCGATGGTGGTGGCCTATGCCACACGCCGCACCTCATGGTTCTGTTATCGAAAACAATAAAAAAAATTGATTGGCTTATGGAACGAAAAAATTGTAAAAACGGACTGACGTACATGACACAGGTCCAGTGGAAGACGCAAACCCTGGTGATTCTGGACGTGGGGTTCTTCGGGGTGGGCCCCGCTAGGCGCGCGAACGTGATGGCGGACCTCCGCCAGCAGATCTGGAGCGCCGGCGGCATGGTCGCCACTCCCCAGAGTGACACGGAGGTGGCGGCGACCGCAGCGGCGGCAGCGGCGGCAGAGGTGGCGGTAAGCGCAGCATGCGGAAAGCATGCGGGCAGCGGCGCCACCGTCGGTGGCGAGCCGCCTGCTGATGGGAGAGCGGTAGCCGCAGCATCAGCATCAGCATCAGCAGCAGCAGCAGCAGCAGGAGAAGAAGATGCCGTTGTAGCAGCGCTTGCGGGGGAGTCGTCGCGCGCGATGATGCTTCCACTCACGCGGACCGCAAGCATCGGCGGCGGCGGTGGCCAGGGGACGTCGCCGCAGGGTTTGATGGTGGCGACGGCGGCGACGAGCGCGCTTGCCCGCGGAGGCGGCGTCGACAGGGTAGGCACCAACACCAACGGTAGTGGCGGCGGTGGCGGCGGCGGGCGCCGTCCGGGGCTCGGCAAGCGCGCACAGAGCATCTCGGCCGCGCTCACGCAGGACGAGGGGCTCATCCACAAGGTGAACGCCGGCTTGTCGGGCTCCGAGACCAACATCTTCTTCCAGCTAATGCTACCGGAGTCGACGTCGTCGTCGTCGCCGCCGCCGTCGTCGCAGCAGCGATTCGAGAGTGGCCGCGCGTCCTTGCGCGCCGGCGCCGCTGGCGCCGCCCCGACCACGGCGGTCGTGTCCCGGTCGTCGGGGTCTGGGCCCTGGGGGGCTCCGCCGCTGGTGCCAACGGGGCCGTACCCTACCTTCAGCGGGGATGCCCCGAAGGGCCTCGTGGCGGGGCCCGGGGAGCGCTTCGCCGGTCTTTCCAACAGCAGGTACGTGGCGTCTTACCTCCGCCGGCGGCGCTGGTTGTGGTTTTTCGCGTGCGACGAGGTGTCCGGCCATGGTGATGGCGGCGGCAGCGGCGGCGTAGGTGGCCCAGGCGGAGAGGACCATGCCGGCGTCTCCCCGTCCGATTGGAACAAGCGCCGGAGGATGATGATCAACGCTCTCGCGCGGTCGCGGCGAGCCGACGGCTTCGTCCTGGTGGAGCTGCGAGATGACGATGCCTTGATGGTAAAGGGGGTCCGTATCATGCTCGGGGTGCAAACTGGGGGTACGAACGAGGGAGGAGGCCGGGGAGGTGATGGCGGTGGTGGCGGCGGCGGCGGAAGATGGGGCGGGGGTGGGCGGGGCGAACCTCGTGCGATGAGGATGATCCTGCAGTACAGGGTCTTTGAGGTGAGCAGACAGTTGCCGTTGTCGGCCGCTGCGGTTGAGTGTCCATGGAAATCGGAAGAGTGGAACCCGCTCTTGCATGCAGAAAGGCCGACCGCGGTAAAGCGGAACTCCATGGGTATCCATCTTGTTTTGGGCCGAAACGGAGGACATTTGGCAGACTCATCGCAACCCGCCTACGCTTTCCGTGCCTCTGGTACTACCGTTTACGTGTTGTCGTTGATGCTGATGCTGATGCTGATGCTGATGCTGATGCTGATGCTGTTGTTGTGTTTTGTGCAGGCGGGGCACGGTACTATCGGCACGGAGCTCCTGATGGAGCCGCAACATGGCCACGTATGGGTGGAGCGGCAGCAGGGTTCGAAGGACTCTGCAGGTGGGGGAGGCGGCGGTTCGTTTTGGATGTCCGACAAGGTGGGCCTCCCTTCGCTTTGGCGCAACAGCGACAGCAGCAGCTGTATAGAGGCGTAAAACCTTATCTCCGAATGTATTCGCAGTGTTTGCCAGAAATCAATCCTGCACGCCTTCGTTCTTTACCGCGTGGTGATGATCCTCGTCCGTCAAGAATCCCATTGAGCCTGTGTTGTGCGTCCCGTCCCGTCCCGTCCCACAGGACCTGTTTCAGCACCTGATCCGCTACGTGGACGCGGCGGACCTGCGCATCCTGTCGGCCTTCAAGAGCTATTTCTACCTCCAACACAAAAGCGAAGCTGCGGCACAGATGTCCCCCATCGCCCGGGCGAGGGACCACGCCGCCACCGCCGCTATGTCCAGCGCCGCTGCCGCCCACAACAGCGGGTGGGACATACCGGGGGCGAGCAGGGCGGGGCCCGGCGGGCGGCGTGGGGGAGTGGGATCTCGACAGAGCAGCAGCGGCAGCGCTGGCGGTGCTAGCGGCATGGAGACCTACCCGCGGCGGCAGTCTTCCCCTGGCAGAGTCCCCCAGAGCAGGAGCTGGAGTGGGAGCGGGAGCGGGAGCTTCGGCGACGGCGGCAGCAGGCGCGGGGGGGCGAGGGACGGCGGCGCGGGAGACGACGCCGACGTCCTGTCGGAGGTCGCGGTGCCCGTGAGCCTGATCAACCTCGTCGTGCACGCGGACCAGCGGCGCGCGCCCCTCCGCATGTTCCACTTCGCGGACGCTCTCCCGTCGCTGCCGCCGCCGCCGCCGCCGCCCCCGGCGCACAACACGCCGTCGCCGAGGAAGATACGGCAGAGGCCGTCCAGGGGCGGCCCGGGAGGCGGCGCCGCCGGAGGGGCGAGAGACAGCGGCGAAGTCGGGCAGCTCCCGACGACGAAGGAAGGAGTCGTGATGGAGCGGGGCGGTGGGGTGGGAGAGAAGGGGGCGGAGGAGCAGCAAGGAAGGAAGGACGACGCGGGGCGGCAGCGGGAAGCGGCTGAGAATGACGACGGCGGCTGCGCCGCCGCCGCCGCCGCCGCCGCCGCTCCTGCTGCGAGGCACTGCGCCACGTGCGAGGTGCTGCCGGTCGTCCAGATCGACGACAATGGCGATAATAAGGACGGGGACGGTGCCGGGAGCCCCGCGGTGGGCGACGGCAGGCAGGGGGGCACCGCAGGATGTCGTGGGCGAGGCGGGTCGGTACACGAGGGTGACTTGTCGACGAACGAGCAGGTGCATTTTTTTCAAGTGATTTGGCTGTTGCCGATGTCGTTGTTGTCATGGTAACAGTTGCGGTATTTCCGCCGTGGGCGTTGTTTTTGTACACCACGCGACGTCGCACTCAGAGGTGTTTTCCAACAGATTTTTCTTCTCCCATTCACCAACTCGTGATGTTTGTTCATGCCGACATGGTGTTGTTGACCACAGCCAACATCTTATTACCTCTCATGAGATGTACCGCTTGTCTTGTGGCTGCCCCCCTTCACTCCGCCCCCAATATCCTGCCGTATTGCTGGCCTTTCTTCTTGCGTGCCTCCTTTTTGGTGCCCAATTCCCGTCCGGATCCTGTCCGAAAAACTCATATTTTCTTTAAATAATAGATGCACGGCCTGCTGGAGAAGGTGCTGGAGGACGCGCAGAACGTGTCCGTCCCGTGGGCGATAACCTCGTCGGACCTGATCCCGCCGAGCAACTACCTGGTGGCCAACAGCAGCAGCGGCAGTAGTTCCGGCAACAACGCTGCCTCGCGGGTCGGCGGTGGTCGCTCCGGAGGCCACTGCAACGCTGGCCCGGCGTCACCCCCTACCGCCGGGGCTTCCTCTGGCCGTGGAGGCGTGCCGGGATTGGCCCCACCCATTCTCAAGGGCGCCTCGGGGCCCTTGCCCTCCGAGCTGGCGATGCGCGGCCGCTGGTTCTCGAGGACCATCGGCGACGGCGCGATACTCCTGACGTTCCTGCCGGCCTTGGATGAGTGGAGGAAGGAGGTGTCGGCGCGCCTGGAGCAGAGGAGAGCGCTGCGGGAGGCGAGGAAGACCCGGAAGTGGAAGAAGAGCGGCAGGAAAGGACTCGGGAGGGGTGGTGCTTCCGCTGGTAAGGGTGGCGATAAGGATGAGGACGACTCGCTCGGCCTCTTTCTGTTCCTCGTGCGGTCCGGGGACTTCGGGCTGCCCATTGAGCCGCAGAGCGCCAGGCTGCGGGACATCCGGAGGATCTTGCTGGCCCATATCCCGCGCAGTCACCACCGGGCGATGGCGTTCAAGCCCGCAGAACGGTGGGGAAAGGGTTATCTTTGCTGTGGTTGATTGTTTGTGATTTGGCATGTTTTCTGTGGTTGATCGTTTGATTTGGCATGATTCAAAGGAAGGCTTTACCGAAAACGAAAGCTACCTCCACCATGCGTTGCTTGTGAAGAGTGCTGCAAAGCATGCTGATACGAATATCAAGGTGGGAGATGGTTCACAGATTTGTGGAAGGCCAATTTCCGCGACAACGTTGCATTGTTTCAGCTACGCCGCCGCTGCACGACACCACTACCACCACCGTCTTTCTCCCGTTGGCCTTCCTCTGTTTGCTTTTGTGCCACGTAGTGCTCTATGCTTTGTTGTTGCGAGGTTTTGTATTCCCCCTTCGTTCGAGGACGACATGCCCCCCAGCCTGTCGCACCCCAGCCCGCGGAGGTCAGCGACTGGTTGTTCATTCGCCCAGGTTGCTCGACGTCCCACAGGGATGCAGGGGTTTCCCTTCCACCTGTGCTCCGTGCCTGTGCAAATGCTGTGAAACACTCCTCTCGAATATTTTCCTGCCCCCAGTCGGGCGTTCCCTAAATACGTGCGTTCTTTTGTCACGAGTAGGAGGCAGACCTTGAAAGTCATGCGTGGTGATCAACGATCAGACGTTTGCGAGCCAATATATAACTGAGCGAACGACCCCCCCACTCTCCAGGATTGGGTGGGGAGATGATCCCGGCGGCGGGCGCGTCGGCACGTTGGCAAGGTCGTACCAGGGGCTCGTCAACCTGGAGCACCGGAGAGCGTTCCTCAGGGTGGTGTACTCGGCCCTGCGAGAGGGGAGGGTGCTTTGCAGCGGCGATCTCGCGTTCGCCCTGTCGGGGTGCGGTGAGACTGCCCGGGAGGTGCGTGGGTGCACTTTTTTTATTTTAGTTGGCATCGACAGCGTGCTTTCCAGCGGGTAGACCACTGAGAAGACTGCGGTCCTACAGCGGGGTACGAAACACGAACATGCTTTTATTTGTCAGCCGTGTGAATAGAGGATGTGTCTTTAAATTTGCACCGGCCTCGTCAACCGGTTGAACGATCGATGAGAAGACGTCAGTTCAACCGCGGGACAAGTAATCCGAACACGTGTATTTGTGTTTCCTTCCTTTGCATCGACGGCACTTTGTATGCCGATGGCTCCCCCGTCCAGAGAGCTGCGGAAGAGGTTGGGATACTGGGTCGAGTCTCCGCATTCAGAGTGCCCCTACCGTAGACGTGTCGATTTTTGTCGTTTCAAACGCTTGACTTCTGGCGGCGAGGTTGCTTGAGACCCGAAATGCGAGCGGCCTTTTTTCCGTTTCACCACACCTGGTTTATTCCTGCCGAGAGCGCTTGCCTTCGAGTGGCCTTGGTGAAAATAATCGTAGAACCCTCTTCTCGCACGGACATGGAAGGTCTCACCGCCGATTTTTTCTGCGTGACTCTTGAATCGAAATCCTCGGTCAGAAAGGCTCTTTGAGTCAATCAAAAGGGAAGGCCGCAGGAGTGTTTGGAACCGTGCATGAGGGCAAACGAATGAGAAACACTGTGGATGATGAGCATGTCATGGTTGTGGACACAGGTGAACATCACCAGGCTGCGGCGTGTTGTGCTGGACAACGGCACGGCCGAGGGCGCTCCGCGTGCGGATCCGGCTGATGCCGCGCAGCAGGCAGAGCCGGACAAAGCTGCGTGCGACGTGGAGTTCACGAGCATCCTTTCGAGGTACGGCGGAGGAGGGGGGGGGGGGGGNGGGGGGGGGGGGGGGGGGGGGGCACGAGCTGCTGTTGGGTCAATACCAGTTGCTGTGGTGGTGATGTTCTGTCTTTGTTGCATGAGTGGTCAATGTTGCAAACCCCGCCACTTTGTGGCCACGTGGCAAGATCGCGCACCCTATTGGCCCGCCTTATCGTCCCTCGCAGTCCTGGTGCGCCGGTTCATCCATCAAGCATCTTCTCGCACCTCCAATGTCTCGTCTCAGCAGGCCACGAGTTAATGTACGGAGTTTACGTGATTGCTCATAGTTGCCATGGACACATCCAACGCCCAACACGTCTCCTCTCCCGTTGATTGCTCTAGGTACCTTCGGCCCGTCCCCGGCACGGCGTACTACATCTACTGGGAGAGCGAATACGAAGGGTGGGGTGCTGCCAACATCCAACAGGCGAGTTCCGCGTCGGCTGGTGGTGGTGCTGCTGCTTCTGCTGCTGCTGGCGAGACGCTGATTCCGCCACACTCGGTGACCGAGACATCTCTAACGACGACGGCGGCCGCAGCCGGCCACCGTTGGTCCGGCCCGGTGGCGGACAACATGGCAGCAGCTCTGGTACCCACATTCCGCGGAGGGTCGCCACACGACAACAACAGCAGCACCAGCAGCAGCACCTGCGCCAACCAATCACTGCAGGGTCGTAGCAGCTCCCTGTCTGCCGTCACCGACCCCGCGATGGTGGCTGCTTCTTGTGCGGCGGCCGCGGCGGAAACGTGTTTGGCGTCTTTCCCGCTCTTCGTGCGCTTCGAGGTCGTCCACGACGAGACGGCGTGCGTCGACGGGACCGACGGAGATGCGGCGGCGATGGCCACGGTAGCGGCAGCAGCAGCTTCGGGGGAAGGGGACGAAAATGAGCAAGACGGCAGAGTCCATGTCGGCAACGATGCGGCCCCGGGTTCGTTCCCTGACGGCGCTTGGCAGCAGCAACGGCGGCGGCACCGAAGCAGAGGGTGTGTCGTCGATACCAGCCACACGTTGTCGCGAGCTCTCAAGTCGATGCCGGACGTTGCCCGTGCTGGGCAGGCGGTCGGCAGATTCGATGGGGCCGGCGCCTGCGCCGACGGGGAAGGCCTGGGCGGGGCGCAGTCGCATCTATGCATTTTGGCGACGACCTTCCCTGCGTCTGATTGGTCAAGGTCTGCTTCCAGCGGTGCGGAGGCTGGGGCTGGCGGCGACGGACACTCGCCTGTCAAGGTGGAAAGGGGATTTTTACTGAGCGTCCCCCCCCCCCCATTTTCTGTGGGCTCTCCACATGGATTCGTCTCGTTTCCGCTTTTGCCATGTCCCGTCGCTGTGAACGCAGGAGTGCTACAACTACTGCTGTAGTTGGCGTTCTAGAGGTATTTTTCGTGCTTTCTTCGTGTTGGTAGCGACTTCATGACTGGCGTCCTTGAACGCGTATCGTTCCGTTGCCCTCTTCTACCACGTGACGATCGGTCCGCCTGTGTCCCTCTTTACACGCTGCACCAGCACCAGCACCAGCCGCAGCAACAGCAGACGGCAGCCCGGTTCGGGCAGTACTGTCGCCCAAGGACCTTGAGTACGGGCGACCTTGCCATGGTCCACGGCGGCGGCGGCGGCGGTGGGCTACGCATCGGCGGCGGCAGCGGTGGCAGCGGCACCACGATGCCGATTGTCACGAGCCTGGCCCGTCTGACCGAAGCGCTGCGAAAGCACATTGACAAGATCTACTGTTCGGAGGTCCTCCGGTCTCTCCTTCGGTGCACTCCGGTGACCATACCGACACTCTTGACCGTGCGGAGGTGTCTTCGACCCCTCCCCGCGGAGGAAATCACCCGCTTCTTGGTGAGGGAAAAGAGGGAAACTGATGTCGTGTTCCTTCCGCCTCTTTGGGCTGTCTGTCTTTTTTTTCGAAAGCGTGGATTGTGCGGAGTCTGAAGAGACGTGGGTCGGCGGTCGGCAAGTGAAGGACCTCTCCGTGGTATTGAACGCCAACCGCGAAGTCCCGTGTTGTCGCCTCTGTGAGCGCTTGTGCGAAACGATAGCACGAGGTTTCTGCTCAACTCGCCAGGAACAACTCGCCACCTTGGAGACGTCGACGACGGTCTTGTGCGCTATGACAGCTTCCACCACCTTTTCTCCCAACCCACCCGTTCAAGATACACTGAGCGTTCCTCACACAGTGATCTTGCCGAGTGGTCGACGTTGTCGGCGAACTGCCGAAGCGTGCTTCCAAGATTCTGTCAGAATTCCAAGGGGCTACAGTGGTAGGCGGTTGCCGTGTCGCGAAGAGACTGCTTGGTGCGTGCATCACGATCACTAGTGTGTACCCCCCCCCTATCGTCGCTAATCGCCGTCCTTGCGAACCGCGGAACAGGTTCCCCTAGAGTTCATGGTGGACATCTCGACCGAACCGCATTCCACCGGCATCGGCCCACGGGGGCTGCGCTCCATCGCCAAAGCGAGAGAGCTCCTGGACCAAGAGCTCCTCAGGGGAAAGGCGCCGTGCTTCCGCCGCGCCAAGGAGGAGGACGAGGAAGACGACGACGACGACGGTGATGGTGCGCAGGAGACCCCTACCAAGACCGTGTCAGATTCCCTCCGCCAAGACATCGAGGCGGCAAAAGGGCTCTTGTTTGTCGTGGAGGAAGGGGTGCGGGCGGGTGGCGAGGGGGCGGCGCCGTCGTTGCATGGTTGCCAAGCAGGTAATGGTGTGTCATCGCCGGCGTCGCCGCGCGTTGGCACGAGTGCAGACGGGAGGAGGAACGGGGCCACCAGGGCAGATGTTGGCGTCGACGATAACGTTCGCGACGACGGAGACTCCTCTCGCCATCCGGCAGCGGCAAATGATGACTATTCGGTCCCGTACTGGGGAATCGTGAGGGTAGGGGAGCTGACGAACGATCCCGGTGAAGTGCCCGAGCCGTGGCCGTTGTACGGTGCTAGCCGCGCACGGACGCGGCAACTGGGGAAGACGGCGCACGCCTTTTCAAAGCCGTCGGAACCGACGCCGGCGTCTCAGGTGCATCGGTTCGGCAGCGCGCCCGAATCGGTCGGATATCGCTTGATCGTGATAAACGTAAAGGTTTCCGTCCACCACCCGCGGGGGAGCACGGTCTCGGCGAACAAGGGCACGGTGATCGACGAAATCAAGAGGGTGAGGGCCTGTGGGATAAACGAAAGCGTGCGTCACCTGCCTCTCGTGCTGGCTTTGAAGAGGTTGTAACTATTGTACAATGCTTCGCTGCTAGGTCACGTGTGCTGTCATGTGAACCCAACCGAAACGTGTCACTTTGCCTAGATCTGGCTGTGCGCACCTATGTGCGGCGTTTACTACAGGTTCGGTGAGAGAAGCCAGCATAAAAGACACCCGCACAAGTCCGGGGCTTCGGTGCTCACATGTGGTGTGGTCGGTGTTGTGCTTTTTTTGCCCTTGATCTAACATGTATCGTGGTGATTTTCGCAGTGTCTCGTGTACCATCTCCCTCGGTGATTGAAGCTCCCTTACCACCCCTCCCGCACACATTCCACGGGTCGGGTTGCGTATCGCGTTTCAATCCCCACATCGTCTTTTTTTACCCCCTCCGTCCCCCGCCCATGGGCCACCTTGCTCAACATCGCAAGGGTTTGCACTTGGCGGCGCGGAGGGTTAACCAGCTCATGCTCCTTGAGAGTCTGATCCAGACGAAGGTCGCGTGCGAGGTCCTCATCCCTCCCCCCCACCCCCCCGCCACGACGACCACGGCACTGGACATGCCCGAGGTTCTCCGGGTCGGAGCCGTGACGTACAGCAACCCTCGCGCTCGCCGGCCGAAGGCCAACGCCTTGACGGGCGCCGCGGGCGCTCCCCTCGGTGGTGTTGGCGGCGGCTTCCGCAGCATCGACGACAAGGGCGTCGGGGGAAGAGGAGGACTCCTCATGCAATCGCCGCCACCCGCCGGGACGGGCTCGCCGGAAGCATCGGCGGCAAAGGACGCCGGCGTCGTTGCCCGCGATGGGGCCGTGGGCACTTCGTCGGCGTTCGTCGCACCAGAGTCTGCTGCTGGCACCGACGGGAATTCCGACCGGAAAAAACTGTCTCCGACGGTCGACAGTATCGGGCCAGGCGGAGAGGGTTTCCTGAGCAAGGCCTCGACTTGGGCGGGGTGCTCCCTGACGGTTGACACACGGAGTGTCGCTGGTGGGGTTTTCCGTCTCGAGAATAGCCTAGACACCGCCAACAAGGGGAGCGGCAGTCCTTGTTCTTCGCCTACTCAACTGGTGTTGGACGGCGGTGGCGGTGAGAGCGGCAGAGTTGTGGACGGTCGGGCAACAAAATCCACCCACGGGGGTGGTGGCGAACAGCAACAGCAACAGCAGGAGGAGGGCGAACTTGTCCTTCCCCAGCGGGAGCTCGGCCAGGCGTTCCGAGAAGGAGAGCTCCGGTGCGAGTGCAAGTATTTCAGGCGGTTCCCGCTGTACCACCGGCTGCAGGCGCAGATGGTGCTCGTTACCCTCGCCACCACCGCGCTGAATGGCTTCCGAGTCCACGGGAGGAGTGACCTGTACGTGTGCCCGGACAAGCTGGGGAACTTCTACATGACTCTGTCAGAGGTATGCTATGCTAGGCACTCGCGAGCTCTGGTCGTGACGGTGTGATACCGCTCCCCCTCGCCCCCTACGTGGCATGAAGCGTGTTTTCAATCATTCCCGACCTCTCTTCGACGAGATAATGTTGTCGAACGCGGTCTGTGCTGCCGTAGAGGCTAGTTTTGATAGATCCCTCCCTACACTGGAAGCTCCGCCCCCCCCCGGTGTTTGCCATCGGGGTTGGGTTTTCGTCGCTTGGCGACGACGTTGTAAAACAAGCCAACTCACTTCGTGAGCTCGGCAACCAGGTTACCGTTTTTTTTACGCCCGTTTTTTTTTTTGGCGGTAACCATAATGGTGGTCGAGTGGATCATGTTGTGCGGGGTGGAGAATCCTCACTCCGCGCAAGGGGGATGATCGCACCACGTTGTGTTAAAATGGTCGAGCACCCTCGACGCAGTTTCACAGTGCTTACAACTGTCTCTGGAAGTAAACACTAGAAAATATATTAAGTCATACGAAGCTGTCATCCGTATGTTAGGAAGTAAGCACAAGATGCCGAACACCCTTCCGGTGTTTGCCATCGGGGTTGGGTTTTCGTCGCTTGGCAACGACGTTGTAAAACAAGCC